ATATATAACAGTAAAATATAAATTAAATGCAAAAATGTATTATTAGTTGGAACTAAGTTGGAAAAATAGTTATGAAGATCAATTATATTATAAAAAGTGAGGTAAAGCTCTCCTTTTTAAATTTAACTGGCACATTTTTAATTGAATTTATTTATTGGTCCATTTATATATTTCTGCTTTTTTCTCTAGTTATGTCAGTGTCAGTCCTCCACACTGCAGAACTTGGTAATTCAATATCTGAATCAGGTGTGTTGGAACAGGGAAAAACATAAAACCTGCAGGGCTGCGGCCCTCGAGAACCAGGATTGCCCACCCCTGCTCTATAGGCACACTAAGTATTAAGCTATAGTTGGTATACTAGACATATTTTAGCATTATTGGAGTTTTTTTTTAACATGGACTTGTTTCATTTCATGTTTCATTGACCTAAGTTAGAGAGCATTTTAAACTTTTAGTCCCTTTGGTCTATTAATAGATTTCTACCAAATAAACTGTTTTGTAAAAAAGTGTTTCTAGTTTATTATAACAAATATTATTTTCAGTTCAGCGAACTAATACAAATATTACCAATAACAAAAAAGCTCAGTGTGAAAAATTTCCCAATTATTCTCAACCATCCTCATTGTTAAACTATCGTAATACAACTATGGAATTGTTTAAAAACTTAAAAAAAATTGAAAGCACATACTTCACTACTTTAACTTAAGTAATAATTTGACAGAGTTACTTTTACTTTTAATAAGTAATATTTGATGAGTATGTACTGTGACTCAAGTAAGGAAGCTGAGTACTTTGTCCACTATTGAACATATGGTAGGCCTTTAATTACTCTGTCGTAGTTGTGGCACAAATGTTTTCACTTTCAGATATAAAACATAATAGTTACTTTTTTTATACAGACAATCCCATCTCAGAGAGGGCACTCGGATACCTCAAATGTCTGCCAATGCTTGTAAAACTAGATGCATCTGGGACCAATATGAAGGTAAAATGTTTGCATTTAATATTTATACATATATATTTTATATTTACTGTAATTTCATTGTGCTCTTTACGATGACAGTAAAGGTCTCTCTTTTCTAATTTGCCCATAATTTATTACCATCGCCCTGAACACTTCATTTAATGTATGCATCCAGTTTGGCACAAGACTGAAGACCACCATATGGAACCTGTTGGGACTAGTTCATTCTGAAAACCCACTGGACTCCTTTGATCACTCAGGGTGTAAAACTGAAGGCTGGGCAGAGCAGGTAAATACTTTCCAACATTAATGGGGAAGATCTGTTGAAATGAAGTAATGTAAAATTTCATTTAATTTCCAGGTTGTAAATCAGTGGGAAACAAATGGCTCACAAGTGCCAAAACAAAAGAAAATGGAAGAGTCGAGGGCATCAGCGCTTCGCTTCTGTAAGTTGCGAAGCCATTTTTTTTTTGTGAAATAGAATTTTTTTTTGTTTACATAAAGTGCTTTATGTTTTTTTTTTCCTTCTTCTTCTGTAGTTGGGAGGCAGAAGTTTGTCAGAGATGTAATGAATGCAGCACCGCCGATGGGTGGCAGTGTGAAAGACTCGGTCATAGAGAAACTACACTTTTACAAACCTGCAGCAAACAACCACAGGAAAGACAAACTGGTCCCTCCTTTAATAAATCATCAAGTTGCGTCTCCCGGCCTCAACCTCAAAAAACGGAAACAAGAGTCAAGCAGTTGTGATGCTGCGCTCCAAAGCCCTCCGACTAAGTGTTTGTCCTCATCAGCTTTTACTGCAGAGGACCTGGACCTGTTGAACAGCTATTAAAAAAGAGAACAACTCCAGCAGCATTCCAGAAAGTTAAGAGTGACAGTAAACATCCTGACTCAGGAACTATGACCATTTGTTGTTCATTTCCTGAACTGTGGAAACTGTTTTTGTAGTATGAACATTTGTTTTTGTTAATAAATCTTTGTGTTTTGCAAGTTTCTATATATATTGTTTTTGCAGCTTTGCAGGCCTTTTTTGCTGCTGTACTTGAGTTGTGTGATGGTTCATTACGGTGAACATGAACCTTCACTTCACAGCCTCATTGTGGAGATAAGGGAGATAAAAAGCCAGTGCCAGTCACCGGTCTTGCATGAAGAATTGGCTGCAGCGTCAGCAGAAAAAAAAAACGTGAGAGTATAAACAACAATTACTGGGCTGAAGAGATTAGCATGCTCTGCAGAACATGGGGGGAAAAAAACAGAAAAACTTTGCTCACCGTAACATTCCCAACCCTAAAGTTAGCATCAATATATGATGAAAAAACTACCAAGTGGTTTTAGCTTTATTTTATTTCACTTTGTTGCTGAGAGAACAAACTGAAGCAAGAAAATCTTAAGATTACATACCATCTTCATTGGTTTAAAACAGAATTTGCTGTAAATTTAATTATCTGGATAGCGACTTGGGGTAAAAAAAAACAGGATAAACAAGAAGTCTGTAGTATTAGCACAATCTAAATTACAAAGAAAAAAAAAAGTCGGTTTAGGAGAAATCTGCATCACTTCAGGTCACAAAGAGTTCAATTTGACATTCAATAAAATACACACCGACAGAGAGCTACTGCACACAGCGATAATAAGAAAAGCCATGAAGCCTTTTTAACGTGTACTGCCCTCATCATAACATAATGCCTCAAATACATTAAACACCTTCCAGTCACCCCAATTTCAAACGCTTCAATCAAAGTAGAGGCAATACAAAACACACTGCAAGTTCTGTTCACACCACAACCAGCTCAGACCCTAAATCAGAGGACTAAAAATCGTGTAGAGGAGAAACTCCCTTCTGGAGTGCAGCTTTAGGCTCTAGACGTCAGACTGGCCCAGGTTGACCTTGGAGGGGAGCGGTCCTGCCTCTTCTGTTCCTTTGGAGGTGATGATGAGCAGGGAGGATGCTGGGTATGGAGTCAGTTTCTGCTCTTTCATGTAGTCCTTGTCACCATAGATGCTCAACTTCTAAAAAGGTAAAAGGACACAATTAGACCATTTGGGGTGTATTTTGACCACCTTAAACTAGTCCAATAAATGTACAATTACTGTAAGTTATAAAAGTAACTGATTCTTAATTTAAGTAAACCAATAAAGCAAACTGTTTCTCATTTTTCTATATGATGGATATTTTTTCCAGGTACCCGACAAATGAAAAAAACTCATGAATAATTCTTGACTTTTTCAGATGACACATACCATTAGAAAGAAATAAAAAATCACCCATGACAACTTCTTAAATGTAATTATAATATCCAGAGATTACATTTTGATAGAATAAATACACTTCCATGATGTATACCTTTATCTTTGAAGATCCATGGGATGTGTTGCATCAGCAATTCAAAATATAATATAAACAAAAACACAGTTGATTTCTCAAATGGCATTTTTATACAGTTTTTGAAGACTTAAACAAATTCAGAAAACCTCCAGTATTCTGAAGTCTTTGTAAAATTAATAAACAAACAAATAAAACAGACCTTAGGTCAAATGAAATGGGTGCCAAACACCATCACAAGCGTTACCTCAACAGGCACATATTGATCCACAGCAGTCGCCACCGTGGCACAGCAGATCCAGATCAGAACCAACACAGACAGAATCAGAGTGGATGTTAGGATCCACCCTGGCAGCCAAGAGTTCCTGAGGAGCAAAGTACAAACAGTAAGCCTGTGTGTGTCTGCGGAGACAAAACCACCAGGATGCTAATGATGTCATTTTCTGATAAACACAGAAGTGTAGAAACAAACCTGGACAGACAGCTGAAGAGGTTGTATCCATCATCATAGCTGTGGTCACCAGTCAGATCTCTGTCTCTCTCTTGGATTAAAGTGCGATGGTATTCTTTGTAAATAGGACTGCTCAGTCCTGAGGCTTGAAAATAAGCAGTGACAATGTCCTTCATATAAATAACACTGTTTCCCCACAGCACAATTAATGACATGAGTGTGCAGTAACGCTCATTTCTGAGCAACTAGAGTTTACGGCACAAAAAAAATTAACTATATAGTACTTACTGCTTTTTGGTGGCTCCCATTTCATTTCGTCATCCAGATCAAGCTGGGGGAAGAACCTGACTTGAGGTTCAGTCTGTAAAACCGATCAAATTCAAATCAAATTTTTTTTTGTGTAGCACATTTCTTGCACAGCAATCACATATTCTTGCCAACAAGGTTTAAATTACAATTTGAAAACTACATAAAAACAAATGAAGATAATTCTCAAAAGAAAAAAACAACACTGGATTTATTAACAAATTCTTAGATTGATGCTAGCGTATTCAGGTACACAAATGCATAAAAAATAATGGAGTAAAAAACAAATAAAACCTAATCACATGCACTTGCAAATATTTACTGAGCAATTCTCTCATAGCAGTGTATTCTATTAGTTTGGAACATAGATAAAGAAGAAATATATGTTATATTGTTTCTTTTATTAGCCTTTATTGTCCCACAGAGGGGAAATTAATTATCTGCATTTTACCCGTTACACATGTGAACACACATGTGGAGCAGCTGCTAATTACAGTGCCTGGGGAGCAGCTGAGGGGTTAATGGCCTTGCTCTGGGGCTGGTTGGTTCGGGGAGTTGAACCAGCAACCCTTTGATCACAGACTCATCTTGTCTAACCTCTGTGTCACCACTCACTAATCCTACTTCTCAAATATGATATGAATAAGAGCAAGGAATGACCAAAATAGTATTGTCTGTAAAACCTAATGGACCTAACATGCCTCCTAGGCCACTTGTAGGGATGTTGACATTTCGTCAGCAGCTGCGGCCATTTTCTCCCCAAACTGCTGTGACCAGATTTTGCGAGGCTGCTCGGTGCGTTTGCTTGTAATTTCCTCCTGCTTCGTTATTTCTACGAATTTCAACAAATCGGGCTGCMGTCAGGTAGTTAGCTACAGCCTCGTCTTCGAGTTTTTAATTTTTGTTGATGCGTTTTGAAGAGACAATTTTTTGAAAAGAGGATCAAAGCAAATCACCCGATTTTTTCTAGTGACCTCTTAAAGAGATAAGCTGCCATGAAGAGCATTATTTTAGCTGCCCTTCTTCCAAATTTGATGATTTGAAACGTTGAAATATGTTTTTTTAAATCTGGAATAATAGCGCTTGTTGCAGTAATCTGACGCTCATCTTCGTCACCTGACACATTTAACACGCTGTAGCTTTGTTTACAAAACAGAGGTCCACATGGTTTTTAAATTGTTTTAATTTCCTTACTTTCTAAGACACGTTAAGTTGATTTGATGCTGCAGTTTGCCTTGTAATATTTTATACATTTTCTGCTACTTTTGAATTGGCTTTTATTAAGTTTTATTAGTTTTTTAAGGATATAAGATGTTTCCTACAAAACCAGAATGGGAATGTTTTCCTAAAATTTCATGGTGATATCTTGACCACTGAGGAAGTTATGAGCAAAAACAGAAAACAGTAAGGTGAAATGGTCACAAAGGCCCCATTGCTTCTGCTGTGAACTGCAGCAAGAAAACATGAGCTGATTTCACCTAAACATACATCAATAACTTCCCTCATACTTCAGATAATCACATGATTTTGGTGTTCTTATGTATGGTTTGAAATATGCTTTTGGAATCCACTGTCAGATTTAATCTTGGTGTAGGATTAAAAATCTATCCACATCCCTACCATTTGTGTTTTTGAATGATATGAAAATGAAAATTATATTGTTGGAAGCAAAGTGATTTTTTAAAAATGATTTGATGTGTTTGCACATACTGTTAGATCAGCTCATTTTGTTCTCTTATGAGTGTTATACCTGGAAAATGACCACTTTTCCATCATCAGCCTGGAGATAGAAAGTCCAGGTGGAAGTGATGAAGCTGTGAGCCTGACTCATCACGTCGTCCCAAAAGCCCCGGACCAGAGTCAGTGGGTACAGAAGATGAATCCTGGGCACCATGGCCTCCAGCTGTAAAGAAACGAAAAGAACACTTGAGCATGACTTTTCTCCATGAATGTCTTCATGCACACTGTGAGCAATCTACCTGCTCCAGCCGCTGCTCAGCAACAGGAAGCTGATTGTGACAGCCCATGTTGCATGCATACTGCTCATCAGTCTGAGTGTAGGCTTCACGACAAGCTGCACAAATTGAGAAAATGAGTAACAGGTGGTTAAACAGGATTACAGCAGACAAAACGGTTTCCTGAGCATTTGTTTCGCAGGATCTTGTGTTGAGGTAGCTCACAAAACCAACAGGTTTATGACATTACTGTGGGCAATGAATTACACGGAAAGTCTCATTCAGTAGGCCTATGATTTTGCAGAAGGGAAAATAAAAGGGGGAAGGGTTCAGTTTTTTTCTTACTTGATTCACACTCGGACTTGGTCTGATTCAAATTGTCGCCGTCACGAACAAACTGACAAATGGAGAACAGACGGCAGCCTCTCTGACAGGCATACAGTTCCTCTTCCTGAAAAACAACAAACAGGACTAGTTGAATGTCTCCGCGAAATCATTCTGTGACACAGCCACACAACTCAAAACCTACTTTAACTAAGCAATAATCTGCTAAACAACAGAACCGAGTAAAGTCACCTGGTTAGCATTTTTCGCTTAGCCGAATTACAAAACGTTAGCTCGCGTTAGCTGAAGCGACTTTACCAAACAAAACAAGCACTCACCCGCGGATACGTGTGCAAACTGTATGTCATTTCACATGACCTGTGACAAGATACCGTGTTCCCCAAAACACTGTCAAACACATCTGAAGAGGCTAACGAACTCACGGTGAGGACAAAAAGTCCTACAACATGAACAACGACAGACGCTGTTCCCATTGTGAAACCTAAACAAACAACACTCTCCTGTTCCTTATCCACCTTAATCGGACTGTACTCTCGCGAGACTTCCGGGACATTTTTTTTATTTTGACACGTGACGTCCTCATCATCTTGTCCTCAGTCTGTTGGGTGCCTGTTCTCACACACACACACTCACACACACACACACACACAAACACACACAAACACACACACACACACACACACACACACACACAAACACACACAAACACACACACACACACACACACACACACAC